GTAGGTGTCCGGAATGTTTCTAAGTTTGTTTTCATAACCTAAGCCGTTGCGTGGGCACACAGGTTGCCAGATAGAGAAAAAGGAAGGTTTAAAAACAAAACAATGCGCACAAAAAAGACCCTATTCTCAGAGCGCACAAATAATTGATAGTTCAGACATTTTGACTGAGGCTACCGCATCTTATTTTGTTTCTATTCCCTCGATACTCATCAGTTGATTTCATTGCCTGACATTACTATGAACAAAATGCAGCCAATTGGTATTTAAAGGGAGAGAATTAGCCACATTTTTATGGGACCTTGAATTGAAATAGCCATCTTGAAAATTATTCGATGCGGTTACCAACGCTGCTATTCTTAAGACCTATGCCCCTTTAGCCTCTGAGCCACACGCCCGCAAAGACCTGCAGACGTTTTCGTGCAAACCATTCCAGGGTCACTCAGACATCCATAACGGTATAATAACCTTATTCAGGGCCAGTCATTTCATTGGTCATATGACGATTAAGGCTTAGATAAATATAATTGTCGAATTGTTCATATCTGGCGTTCTTGAGCGCGGTTTCCAGATATCACGGCCTTCAAGTGGCTCTCAGTCAATGTTGCGCAAGGTACGATGACGCGATCAAACAGTGACGTGTTGAGGAGTATGTTTTCTTAATAGAGAAACTGTGGTGTCTAGAGCAGTCTTTTCCACTTAAACGTAAACCAATAGTTATAAGTGAGGTTATTTTCTCATACCTGATGCTTGCTTCAATATCTTCAATTGTGGAACATTTCTTTTAATAATCTAAGCGAATCCTTTAACTCCCTCAGGTCTCCCGCGGAAGTTAATAGTCCCTCAGCTGCAAGGTATTAAGAATTATCTAGCAACACATAAATAGTTTCGACACTCTCGCTCTAGATCAACGTAATGCTGAACCGGCATATCCTGGTAAATAAGGGGACGGTGACACCATAGTTATTGCTATGTTTGTTTAGAAAAATTGCAGTTTTTTATCTACCTGATATTCTCTGGTCGCATTTCCTTGCAAGATATAGACGTTTTTATCATCGCCATCATTTTCCGCCAAGACAACAGGAAAAATCAATGATGACCCGACTCGTGCCAGAGCCCGTGCGTGCGGACCGCGTCGAGGGTGCAGACCACGCCGGGGCTCGTGCGTGCAGACCGCGCCAGGGGTGCGCGCTACACCGGGGCTCGTGCGTGCAGACCGCGCCAGGGGTGCAGGCCACGTCGGGGCTCGTACGTGCAGACCGCGCCAGGGGTGCAGGCCACGTCGGGGCTCGTACGTGCTGGCCGCTCCAGGGCTCGCACGTGCAGACCGCGCCAGGGCTCGTACGTGCAGGCCGCGTCAGAGCTTGTATGTGCAAGCCGCGCGAGCGCGTCACGTACGTGGAGACGTCAGCTGATATTAGCATCGGCACCGCGTGTGTACCGCGAATCAGTGGTATCCATGGACACATCGACCATTCGTAGACACGTGGATCATTTGTCGCAAGCGAGTGGAAAGCCAACAGCACTGTGGAACATATTGTAGATATAATTTCCGGCCATCCAGGCATAGATGTCTAAGCTTTCAGTGATCTGGCCATTGAATGACCGAATGGTTGGACGTCCGACACCTGTGATGATGTCACAAATGTGCATTCATATAGATGCCTTCGGGTCATGTATAACACTTTCACTAATGTCTGTTGCTTTATTGATGTACGGGAATAATGGGCACGAACAGCAAATAACCCTGTTGTCGAAAAAGATGGCTAACATGTGGGCCCAAATAGATAACTCTAAATAGTGCGTTTCTAAGCCCCGGTATTGTGGATGATCTTCCATCAGTGAATTTTGGATTTCATATACACTTTGGAATCGTATGCACTGTGTTGAATTTTCAGCAGTAACTGTTGTTCTCTTAAGTAAGACGGTTGCCACATGAACATGGCCATTGCAATATAATATTACAGCAGCATCGGAGAGGCGGTCCAAGGGATCCAAAGACAAGTTCTCTTGATGCGTTAGTGTATTGCGAACCGCTAATGCAGTGGTGCAATACATAATGTAATGCATACCTCTGGGCATATATATTTGAAAGCTTCGCACTCCAACCACAAACAAGTAATATTGTGTCGCATTAATTACACACAAAAAACACATGTATATACACATGTACATACACACACACACACACACACACACATATATATATATATATATATATATATATATATATATATATATATATATATATATACTACGCAAGCTATCAATACTGCAGTGGTAAGGCAAAACCACGATCTCAGGTTTTGTGGAAGCACGTGCGTAGGAATATAGCTTCAGACTTATCCGAGCTCTACGATGCTAATGGACGAATAACGTAGACAGATATGTACAGGTGAACAAGTGAAAGGAGGCAAAGAGCAATTGTGTTCAGGGGTGTGTCCGTTCATGGGAGTAAGGTTTGCTCATGTCATATGGAACATGAAAGCCTGAAATGACACTTTACATACGATCTTTTACTTCTTTGCAGTGACAGCCCGTTATGTCAAAGGCGATTCCAGGAACGAAAAAGAGAAAGAGCACAGTGCACAGAGACTGGCCGGCAAGAGCGAACTGTTAGCTGACGCCCCCAACATTAGACCGCGTTCCAATTAAGTGGCCCTTCTTCTCTGCCTTTGAAATACTGAATACACCTGTGTCTCATATCTAGACTTGATATTAAGGCGCCAAAATTAATTAACAGTGCAAAACAGCTTTAAAGCCGGGCACCTTGGCTCAGCCTATGCCAAAATGTTGGCTAATATTTGCGTTGCTGGTAAGAAGCAGAGCATCATCCCACCTGCGCTGCACACTTAATAAAATCCCGTTTTGACAGAGTTACAAAGATGAAGTGTCGCATATCATAATCGAGCTATCGACGTTATCGAGCAAGCTACTTATCGATCGGCGTTGGTCGCGTTGAAATTAGTTCATAATTTTGACAACTGTGTTGGATAAAAAGTTCTTTTAGCATTTGGCTGCTCCATATCGTCCCTTAATTAAAAAGAAAATCCTTGAAATAGTATAGGAATGCAAACCTTGGCGAGAGAAACCAAACACCGTATAACTTTTTTAATCGGACCGGCAAAACCTGATGCCCCAGGTATCGACGGAATCCCTTCCCTTACTTGAAATTCGGTTAAATCTACCAGCAACGTCAAAGACGAACTGCAAGGGATTGCAGCAAGTTGTTGTGGGGCTTTCGATCAATTGTTCCGTGACTGGCCACCGAACAGCGTATTTATGGTGGCGGCATACCTGAAACGCGGCAATGCCGTTTTTAGCATTACCCGTGGCAATCCACACCAGCAAGTTGGAATTTTGAATGCACCGATAAATGAACATGAGCACCAGCTTGTCAAAGCATATTAAAAATCTGCCTGCTAGTGTCACGCCGGGTTATGTCGAAACGACGTAACGGACGCTACCGTGGAGAGCTAACTTGAAGGTTGTTCCTCACCTTGGTATTTGATAACGGTGAGATCAAACTTGTGTCATGAGGACATTGAGGGTCATCCAGTGCACCCTGACTTTGTTCTAGATCATCATAGTTGAATGATGGACTTTGCCGTGTTGATGTTGTCGTGATGCCCTCTAACAGCCTTTAATGATTATGACGTGCTCTCATTCCCTAAGCGATACGGGTCATGCAATCTAAACACCGTTTGGCACCGACGAAGTGTTATGGGAACTTTCATGGTAAACTTGTATACCAGGCCATCGTAGGGTAGGTCAGTTCGGTGTTATATTAAACATCCGGTACCAGGCTGGCATTGTAAAACTATGCCGTTTGATATGCTCCAATCTGAATCTTGAGGTCCCGGTTTTATGTACAGGTCCAAGACGACCCGTCCGCGTCGTCTGAAAGCTTAGATTATTATACGAGGCTATTACAATGGATTTTGAGACGAAAAACCAGATTTCGGAAAATTACGCAACCTAACAAGGTATTCCCACAACAACTGTCGTGGTTCACGATAAAATGAACGCAGCATTTGTCTTCGGGCACGCTGGTCTATGGCTGGCCCCAATTTGGCCATCACAGATGATATGGGCCATCATGGATGATATGGGCCATCATGTGATTCCATTCAAGGGAGTCTATAATGCGATTCTACTTTATCGAACTGATTAAATACCAACGCTCCGCGTGAGCATTTTGATGCCGGTTATTTCCTAGCATGTTTTACTTGACCTCCAGCTTGACATGATTCTTAACCTTCGTCATAGCACAGCTTAAAAGCGATGCCAGTATTTGACATTACGCCATGTCAACCGATAAGCATGCGTAACATGGTATGTTGGTTCATGTATTGGCCTGACTTCTTCTAATTCTCGGTCTCCAGTAACCTTTGGTCAATTATTCCAATGAAAACAAGCCATGAAGTAAGTTGTCTAATGGTGTAAGTCGTGTGGAAGAAAGTAGACTGTACGTGGATGTGCGTCATTTTTTAGCACTGGGTACTGAAATTTACTTTCAAACAGTAGGTGAATTCGAAGGATTTGTGCGTGTCTGGGATCGTCGAAGTCACTAATCAAAGCCTGTTTCCGGGGGGCAAAATCCAGAGATATAAACTGCAATCTGAATTGGAGAAATCAGCCAACTGGTTTCAGATATAGTATGGGTGATACGGGACTTGTCCTCTAAATACTTAATGCTGGATTGAAACACGCGATATGGCCCTTTGTGCTTGGGGAACCGAGTACACCTTTTCGTTTAACATACACTGGTACCCGGACTCCTCGCGCTCGTTTTTGAAGGCTCTTGTGAAAATATTCAAGGGTATCATCGAGCCTGCCCAGTCTACAATGTTGTGTTCAGTGCAACTCTGTAATCTACCAATATTCTATCTTGTACTTTCCCTGCAGCCAGATAGCTGTCATTCCAGGACGTTGCTAATCATCGCCAGCAACGTCGTTTAAAGAACATTTATGCATGGTCTCCAGCCCTGCCCCAGCCTGACTCTCTGATCTGGAGGCCGGCGTCGGCGCCGGCTACCCTCGCTGTCGGGCTGCGGCCGACGTGCAGCCAGATCACCGACTCCACCAGCCCACGCGCACGGCTCACGCGGGCAGCGCCCGTCAACACACCCATGCTCGCACACGCGAAAGTCAACACGGCGGCCGAGCCGGCAGCGGCGAGGCGCCGGCCCGTCCCGCCCAATGAGCATCATGTGCTCACGCTGGAATGGGCCGGACAGGCGACGCCCCGTGACTGGCGGTGCGCGCTCGCCGCGGCTGCCGGTCCGCGGGGCGGGGCCGCCGGCGGAGGTGTTGTCACCAGTCGTTACGGCTGACGCGCTGGCTCGAAGTCTCGTCATGAGCGGCATGTGTTGACAAGGTCGCGTTTTCCAAAATGACTTGTTTATTTGGGCCTCCGTCATAAACGAGGGAGCTCGTTCAGCTTCGTATGACTCAGGGGAGTGTTGATGACGGGCCCAGCACCCCGCTCCTCCCCCCTAGCTCCCCACCCCCGTTCCTATGGCGAAGCCCTTTGTTAAGCTCGCTACTGGAGATGTTCGGAAATAAACACAACAGCAACAAGAGATCATCATGTCCATGCCAGTCAATAGCATGAGTAAGAACTGCGGACCTACAACGGTGCTTAATGAGTCCCAAATTTGAGCCAAATTACCGATATGCAATGTAACAATGGCATTAACAACTAGCGCGGCAAGCGTTCGCGGGCAGTTTAGATGCATTGTCAACAGGCAAACTTTGCAAATAGCAACAGACAAACTTTGCAAATAGCAACAGGCAAACTTTGCAAATAGCAACAGACAAACTTTGCAAATAGCAACAGGCAAACTTTGCAAATAGCAACAGACAAACTTTGCAAATAGCAACAGGCAAACTTTGCAAATAGCAACAGACAAACTTTGCAAATAGCAACAGGCAAACTTTGCAAATAGCAACAGACAAACTTTGTCGAAATGTGCCACAGCCAAGCATTGCTCGTTTTGAATGTTTCAGTGGATCGCATTTTAATGACACTTTCCGTCGGCTGGCAAACCTAAAAGGGTTAGTCTTTTCCTGCCGTCATTTATTCATTCCTTTAGTTCCTTTTCATAGAAGTTAATGTTCTCACAAAACCAATCATTGTGACCAAGACAAACGAAATATCAGTTTTGGATGAACCCAACAGCATGCATTTGTCAGCAAAACAGTACAGCAGCCTTTCGCTTCAATGATTAAAGGCTGCTCTTTATGTTAGTAGCCTTTATCATCAATTACCAGAATCCCCCAACGTCATTGATTTAGCAGCCTTGCATCATTCACCACCCACTTCTGAGAGCATGTCCAGAATGGGGGACCAATCATTAGCTGACCCAGAAGTGTTTTGATCCGGCTTGACCATAGATATCTCAGTTGTCAACATTGGTCGGCATCTGTTGTCCGTATTATATCTATGGGCTTGACGGCGCCTTCCTGGTTGAAAGCGAACATCTTTGGTCTCGGTGTTTTCAGAGTTACAACAATGGTTGCTTTCGTGCCGCAACTTCGAAAAAGCCTCGATCGCAAATGTTCGCTTGACTGCATCGTTGGGTAATTTGTACTGTCATTCAAGCCTAAACTACAGATACTGATGTATGATGTCGATGCTATGTTGGCCGATGAGCATTTTCATGAGAGTCATTTCTAACGACATGTCCAATAATTTCGGATTTTAAGATTAGGTCTTTGGTCATGAATATAAAAAATGGCATAGCAACGCCCCTTATCACTACTGGAATTTCCATCATTGATTTTTGTGAACACATCAGGATTTCAGATTAAAACAGAATGCTGTTAAATGTACGTTTCACTCAAAGATTTCGAATAAGGCATGTTTGAACCACAAAGGTAAGATCTTTAAAGTCACGCTTAGACGAGTCGTTTGAACGTGACGTGCTATGTATGGACGGTGAATGCCTAAAGCTGATATGGTGTTACTCTGTTCCCGAAATTTACCAAAGCGTATTCACATAAGCCAGGATATCTGGCAGAAATGCTGCCATGAAAATGCCATCGGGCAGAAAACATCGTGTTGAATGCTTAACGCAAGCCGTCACTCTCGGCGCTGGCCGCACCAGCCTGGCGAGCCTCAGCCACTCTGAAGCGTGAGCCGAGGCCTCAGCCAGCGCCGGCCTGGCGTTCGACAGGCCGCCCGCATTACAAGCCATTAGCGGGATAGCGACGACAGCGGAGTCCGGCGCTGGCAGTGACGGATGGCGGAGGGGCGGCGCTCGCTCGTCACGGCTCGTCACAGGCCCGACATGATCTCAATTAGCGCCCCGGGGGTCGGCCGCAGGTGAGCCGCCCCCCGCGTCACGCGTCCATCCTCGGCCCGCTGCCGGAGCGACCGGCGCCGCCGGAATGGTGCCACCGCGCGCTGGTTGTGTCACGCGGTGGCTGGTTCTGTCACGCGGCCGGGTGACAGACGCGCTGCCACCGGAGGGACGAGGGGAGCGCTGACACACAGCCACACCAGGCGTGGTGAGGCCGCTGTGTGGCGTAGGCACTCTGCAGACACGGGAGGAGCTAAAGCGGTGGTCATTGAAAGTTTAGAGCATTTTGGTTGGCAAGGTCATGGCTGTACCCAGCAGTGTGGGCAGATGAAAGATCCGAGGAAAAGGGAAAGCTTGGAAGTCACAAAATATCAGTGGCTCAAACAATCCAGTGATGTATTGTGTGCTACCATGAAGACTAAAATGCGAAAGGCAAAAGCATAAACCAATTCACTTGGTACTAATTCCCAAATAAGTATAAACATTGTACCCAACCGGACAGGTGGTCAGGAAATTCCACCGTTCTGCTGAGAGGCGCCTTTAGTTTGGTCACAATGCTCTTTGGTCACGGAGAAAGGCAGGCGAGTAGGAAAATGTCCTGCGCTGATGTGAAGCTGCAGATGGACGGAAGCGGGCTAGAGTAGTTGGATTTAATGAACAACTCACTAAAAATGAAGATGACAGGGTGAAACAGAGGTAAAAAGAAATAAAAACAGAGGTAAAAAGGTAAATAACTTACAGCTGTCTCCTACAAAACACAAATCAGTCGCATACCTTCCATATAGTATCTTACAGACAGTCGCATACCTTACATGCGCTCAAGCTTTGTTTTGACATCTGTTGTGTGAGAGCATAGATATGAAATAAAACACTTTTCATCGCTGTCGAGCAAAGAAACAGAATCCCATTTTGCAATCGCGTTTATTTTGTTGCAGCCCCTCAGCTGAGAAAATGCTTCTCTGGAAGCGATTCTTTGTTGGGCTTATCGTTTGCATTTATGAATGGCAAAAACATTAATCTTCCAGGAATATATTTGCGAGCGAATTCCTTCCAGCGATATATATTGACGCGCCGGCACGGTCGGTACACATCCACGTTTCACTTTTCGTCAACAGCGAGAGGTAGGCATATAGAAATAGACGAGTGTGAAATGACCCAGTTGAGTAGTCGCATTTCCTTTCGATATTTGTTGCAGCATGCGCGGCGTTTAAGGAGCGGTTGATCGGCCGTGCTCGCGCTAACCAGCACCAGATGTTGAATGGAGGAGCTCTTTCTGGAGGCTCTTGTCCAAAGTCCATTCCAAATTCCAAGGATGAGCCCGCTGTTTTTTTTAAACATGTCTGTAAAATCAGGTTGTCCAAAAATTTCCAATCATTTAAGAATACGGGCATCGCTGGACCATCTTTCTCGAATGAAATGAGAATAAATAAATAGAGACCAATTTGCGACGCGACACAATGACATCGTCTCCCCAAAACACTTCAAATATTTCTGCTCCTGTCCGTCCAAGCTCCATGTAGGACTTTTGAATTTTTGGAATTCCAAAAAATTTGAATCCAATCGGAACCTACAATATCAAACGCATATTCGTTCGCGGTTAAGCACAGAATCACCAATGCTGTCCCGGTGTCATGACGGCATTCGGACGCGCTGAGCACGATGTAGGCCCCTATCACCCCACATCAGCGAAACATGGCAACCGGCGGTGTCGTCCTGCTTTTCCTTTGACCTGCCGTGACATGGAGCGTGCCCACCCCGGGCGTGGCGCAGTATCCAGCTGTTTGGTCGGACAGGTCGGGCGGTGCAATGGCTACATGAGATGTTTAGTCGGGCGGAGCGGGCGACGCCATGCGCCACGTCGGCTGTTTGGTCGGGCAGGCCGGGCGGTACAATCGTTACATAAGATGTTTAGTCGCGCAGAGCGGGCGATGCCATGCGCTACATCAGCTGCTTGGTCGGGCAGATCGAGCGACGCCATGGGCCACATCAGCTGTTTGGTCGGGCAAGCCGGGCGACGCGATGGCTGCATTACAAGTTTGGTCGGGCAGACCGGGTGACGCCACGCGCCACATCATCTGCTTGGTCGGGTAGGCCGGGCGCAGCAGTGGCTTCATTAGAAGCGTAGTCGGGCAGAACGGGTGACGCCACGCGCCACATCAGCTGCTCGGTCGGGCAGAACGGGTGACGCCACGCGCCACATCAGCTGCTCGGTCGGGCAGGCCGGGCGACGCGATGGCTACATTAGAAGTTTGGTCGGGCAGACCGGGCGACGCCATGGGCCGCATTATGTCATCGGTAGTGGCTGTAAATGGCTAGCTGGACCCGGCGGAGAATGCTCTTTGGACTTTATAACGTCAATTTGTCTTGCTTGAGTGGATTTACAAGGGCCTGATTCCTCCTATGAACGATAAATCCGAGGCGGCGCGGAAGCTCCGTAACCGGAATGCTCCACGGCGAGGAGTGGCCCATCTTTGCAAATATAAGAGCCGAGCCGCCCGCCGCCGACAGTTGGCACATGAAAAGGAAGGCCATCAGCGGTGGCGACGTCGGCCCGCGTATCCCCGCATGGGTCGCTGAGCACTTGAGCAGGCGACCACAGCTGGCTTCATGTCGGAGGAGTGTCACCAGGCCGGGCCGGACCGGCGGCCAAGTCTGCGGGAAACGCTGACACCGACTCTGGGGATCGCTGCTGAGTCTTCACCGCGGGAATGCTGTCCAGAACGACAGCAAGCAGACCCACAGTCGTGCTCGTCCGTCGTTACCTGTGCACGGTGGCTCTGAGAATCTTGTGAAATTCTGCGTTGCGAATTAATAGGCACCTCTTAAGAGATCGTTGCGAGGACGAAATTCACGCAACAAGAATGCTAACTCGCGCTGAAGGGAGTGTTCTAAGTTTGCAAAGGGTTTTAAATTGAAAAGCCCTCTTGAAGATCATTTGGTACAGTTCACAGTCCTGTCCTTCTTAAGTCCTAAGTCCCTCAAGTTTCTGAGCTACACGTTGCGAAGACATGAAGACCTTTTCGGGGGACACTATTTTAAGGTCACCCAGACAATCATTACGACATGATATAGCCATGCCTCGATTAAGGGCAATACAAATGAAATTGTCGTGTCATTCATACCTGGCATTTGTTGAGCATAAAGTTCAGATATAACGGCCGTCATTTGGCTTTCAATCAATGTCGTGTAGGACACGGTGATGTTATCAATGACCTGTTAAGGAGCATATCTACTAAACATAGAAATTAAGTTGACCAGGACAGTCTTTTCCAGTCAAAAGTTCACTAATAGTTATAAGTGAGCTCATCATAGCTGATGCTTATTTCACTATCCTCAAATGTGGGATATTCCCTTTAAGTGTGCTGTATGCTACAAAAGCCAAGCACCCATTGTGCTTAAGCAGCCAACCTTCCCCACGTGAGGCATTGGCCGTTTATGCAAATGTCATGCGCCTTCCGAGCATAAGTCAACGCGCCTAGCCTCAGGGTGACTCACTGTTGTAATGCTGACCAACGGATTGATGCGTGCTCGCTGCGCTGCTGGCGCGATCAGGACGGAAATCATCACCAATTTATAATGGCTTTGCCCAGTAGCACTCTCATATCAGGGTTGGATGGGCAAGCAAATAGAATTGTGAATTGCTCACTGCCTCTGTGACATCTTCAGGATGGCCCTTTGATCTCATAAACTTAATCATCCTTCAACGAAGCTTTTGGGGGGTTGGTTGGGTGGCATCGTGCACTTGCCATATTGGGCTCATTCGGCCGCGTGATTGTATAGTATGAATTTAAGGATGGGGGGGAAAGAAATCAATATACGCGGCTTTGAGGTGATTAATGACAAGTGGACAATCGCGCGTATGCCAACACTGGATAATACGGAAAGGTGTAAAGTGAAAAAATGTGCTTATGTTGCATTCACCATGCTGTGTTCTGCCCTGTCCTGCCCCCCCCCCCCCCCCTACGCACATTCCTCGGCAGAGCTCTTGTACGCTGCCATTGGTCCTCAAACGTACCATAACTGATTGGGCTCCTGATTTCCGCCGTACACACATTTTCTATCTTACATACATGAAACGCACAAAGGGCCAGAAGCGTTTTGACTATTTTTATCTTCGCAAGCCGGTCATCCGCATCTTGAAATTTGCTTAAGGCTATTAAACGTAGCTATCGACTGAACGATTGTGTTTAAATATAACAGCATTCTGCCTGTGGAAGTTATGTGTGAATCCACGCCTCATGGTTTGCTTGGTCCGTGGCCGATATGTTACCAGTAGGTTTAGACGCATGTAACTGAGCTCAGTTTCGCCGCAAAACATGCTGTAAACACGCCTGTGGGATCCGGGCTTGGTCCGTAAGCTTTGAGCATCACGCTATAGGGAGGTGCACAATGTGCACTTTATTACTGTACGGGATGCTCCACCAAATTACCACATTCAAAATAAAAGGATCTTTGAAACTATTCAGCGAATCTTATTTGTTTCATACGAAATATTGATTTATGGAAGTTTTTTGGTGAGCGATCATTCAGTGTTTGAGCTGAGATAGCTAAGTAAATACAGGAGAACCAAACCTGCTAAATTTTACTTGGAACTCGCTTATATCATTTTTATCTTGGCCGGCGCACTCACGCAACCTTATCCTCCTGGATTTGTGCCTATGGGAAAACGTCAGGAGCATACGGATGCTGTGTGCGTGACAAGCCCGCAGACGCTAGGTCAACTCAAGTGAGCGGGAAGAACTGCCATATGCTGGGTAACGTCGGACATATGTGCTCGCATGGCCCAAGAGGGAAAGAGGTATGCCACCATGTGTATTGAACGGAAATGAGGCCACTGGTAACGCGTTCTCTCGTGCGTGCTGAGCTTGGAAAATAGTCCTATAACTGTATAAGGCTACACTTACATGCATCGCCATGTAGGCAAAAATGCATATTTTGTTTGAATTATAATTGAAGGAGCTGTGGAAAAACAACTACGATACGTTTTAAGGAAACCCTGCACGTTTCAAAGCAAACGAGTTGATAATGATGATAATAAATGTTTGAGCTTGCGCGACGAAAAAACACACCAAGATAGCATCACGCGCCGAAAACGTGGCGATAGTTAAGACGATTTTTGGATGACTTGCCTACCGGGGAGACAGTGCTAATCAAAACATCTAATGCGACCGTAGGTAAACGGACGCGGGCACATATAACAATCTATATTGAATATGGTCCCAGGATTACGTCAGCATATATCTGTTTCCAAATCTTAGGCAATTTAAGTCTTCTGATCTAGGCTGTCAGCTCTTCCCACTTCACTCATGAAAATATGTGCTTAAATGTGCTTTCAATCAGAAGGTATTCACTATGTGCCGCTTGATGTGAGTTGGGCGCCCACCTGCCACAAATTGATCTGGGCTTACCCAGAGCTTTCCGCAAGAGCTTTTCTGGACTTTCTACCAGAGCTCGTTGTCAAAAAACAAGCATTCCTTTAGTCTCTCAGTAAGCCAACACCTGTTCGGAGCATTGCTGACCGTCCCTCAATCCTAAATCCCGCGCAATATTTGTATATGCCGTCATTTTCTTCGCAGAACGTCCTCTCCATACCAGTTATTCTCCAGTGATCTGTTCAAGTTCAGAAAAAACTGTTGATGGTTCAAGTGCTGTGCTGTAGCAGGCACCTGACGGCTCCAGAGGACGGGCACCAGCCCTGAACGGCACTGGGATCACGCGGAGGTGGTCCCTCGGTCTCGCCCGCGTGCGCTCCGATCACGTCTGCTGCCCGCCACCCCATCAGGGCGCCTCCTCGGCCTCCGACGAGGCCGGCCCGCTGCTGGCCGCCTCGTCGGTGGCGTCGGAGCCGATGATAGAGGCCACATCCGCCGGTGACACCCAGGCGGAGCCGTGGCGTCCGCGCGGTGCCGGCACGGTCGTCGGCGGGCCGGCGGAGCTAGACGTCAGCGTGGTGGCCGAGCGCGCGCCGATCTCGTTGACGTCGACGGCGTCGCTGAAGTGGACGTGTTGCTGATGCAAGTGCAGCAGGCGCCGCAGCCGTCGCTGCCGCCGCCGCGTCAGGATGGCCGACTTTGGCGGCGGGTGCTCGGGGTCGAAGTCGCCCTCATCGGCAGTTTGGACGCGGCGCAGCAGCGCCCGTCGCCGGCACCAGACCGCCACCATGACGAACAGCGCCAGCAGCACGAGCGCGATACCGGCCGAGAAACCGCCGGTGGCCGCGTCCATACCGGCCGAGCGGAACATTGGCGCGCTGCCGACACTGACGCCGGCGCAGTACGGCGTCTCGAACGAGATGCCCTCCTGGCAGAGCAACTGGCTGACGAAGGCGTCCCGGACTGGAGGAGTGAGGTGGCAGTCGGCGCCGGCTCCGACGCGCGCCGACAGGCGCCGGCGACGCCGCGTCGTCACCGACATCGAGACGGCGCGCCGTCGACCGGAGTCGGTATTTGCACTGGCCGTTAGCTGCCGAGAGGAAGGCACACTCAGCTTAATGCGTTGCCGAACCGCAAACAGAGACGTGTCATCGAGCCGCGAACTTGCCCCAACAAGGGGTGACGGGCAAGGAGCAAAGGAGCTTACAGCACTGTGTCAAAGACTATAAATGTTGGTGACCGCTCAGAACTAGCAGATAGGTGCATTTTTAAGCTGATAGCTGTTGGATGCTGATCATTTCGGACGGCTGTGGTACAATTTTAGGGTTTCGAAGCACCTTTACTTTTGAAACGCATTGTAAATTAAGAGACCGCGATGTAAGATATAGTCGCAAAGTAACTAAACCAAAGTGTTTCAATGGTGCCGCGGGCTCGTTCTCTTACCGACTGAGCAACGAAATCGAACCATTGAATGCGAATCAAATCCTCTCGACTTAAACATGGCAATCGGACAGGAAACGGATTACTCCCTAGACCGGGTGTGTCACAAACGGGAGTTCAGTATTGGCTGATCAAACTGAGTGTGCCAGAAATGCCAAAACCCTGGCTAAAATTTGCATAATTTACAGCAGCCGCTGAGAGCATTACCGGTGTTGCGCGGCTTTCGTCTGCCGTTCCATTAACCCTAGTTGCTGCGCGCGTGCCTCCTGGGATTTCGTCTGCTGCGTCGTCAACGCTCTCGGTTGAGCCGCTCCCACGACGGCGGGGAAGGCGCGTGACGGATACAGGGATCGAGGGGCCCATTCCAGGCTGGTGAGTGGCTCGGCGGATCGACAACAGGCGCGCCAAATAGAAGGTGCGAATGCGGCTTCCATATGCCTCGCTTCTGACAGAAAATGCCTCTGAAATCCTCAGCACATCCATCATCGGCGCTGTTTATTTTCGCATCGTGTCGTTTTGCGGCGCGGGAGGCGGGCGGAGCGTGCGGAACGGGCCGGTGACTGCGTCAGTGGCCGTCACTGGGAAGATTTATCTCCCGGCCGGTCCGGTCCCAGCCTCGCTGGCCCGGCTGCCGGGGCACGTGCGACCTGGAGTCCCTGGCACGCTATCGGCACCGCTGCAGGCGAGCTGCGGACGGGTGTGGTGCCACCCCTGCCGTACATCACGAGGAGAAAGGTCTGATGCGTGCGGGTCGCGGTACATTCACCGAACGGTTGCCAAGCGTCACTCGGATATTGGTTTTGTTTTATGATCAATGGGTTGAAGAGGCTTGGGCAACCATTCCGTTATCCCTCTGAAGTTGCGTCCTTTGTGACTTGAGACGTCAGCCCAGAGATCTTAAGATTATCGTCCCTCGGCGTAAGATCATAACAGTTGGTAGAATGACATGAGATGACCGGACTAATGCTTTCGCGAAGCACGACGCGACCAGGCTAAACCAGACTGCAGGTATTGTGCTTTACATGCGTCGAACACGTATCTCTCTCTCAGAACCAACCGCCAGGCGCGTTTGTCTTGCCCGATCTAAGCGGACTTTTGCAAGGAACAACTTCGGATGGATGTTTCTTAGAGCTGCCTAGAAGCATAAGGATTATAGACCATTTGATGTCTTTCTCCAACATTGACGTCTATGTCAGGAACGATATGAGTGACAACAGTTAGCATGCATACGCTACAGACAACTTTTGACGCCATGGGGGCTGACAATTGTTAGTGCTAATGCGTTCGTTAATTGTTTGCAGAAATGAATGTTGTGGAATTGTACATGTTGTAGGGTATCGGTTATTAAGGCACTTACCTAGCTGTATCCCTTCGGTGTACCGCACTACTCAGCCAAGTCTTGCACAATGTTTTTCTCACAAATTCTCGCCACTGCGTCGGCTCTCACTATTTGTGATTTTTCCCGTGCCTGTAATGCCTGTTCCCTGAGTGCTCCATGTCGTCTCAATAATCACTCATCCCGGACTGGGAGATGTTTTGTCCATCTAATAGAGAGTTCTGGAAGTCCCAGTGGTCACCTCGGTCATTAAGACACCGGACGATGGCTGCATCCTGCTGCAGATTTGATGCCAAGCTTTTTGTTCGCTGCTGAGGTTCTGAAGAGCTCTGCGTTAGCCGCTATGTACGGCCTTGGTCAGCCCCACCTTAGTCAGCTTTTTGTGGCAGGCTGGAAGCCGGACGGTAAAAGCATTTCAGAGCTCGGCTGGTGGTGGCACGTGACTTTCCGGCATTGCTACATCTTTCGAAGAGAGTTGAAAGACGCAAAGTCTGGCCGCAGCAAAGGAAGTCTGTGGCGGTCGCGGCGTTCTTTACCGGCTGATTTAGCGCAGAAAGGAGAGGGTTTTGCCGCGCTGAAATCGCGGTGGACCAAATGTTAGGCGCAAATGGTGTGCTGAAACCGACCTTGCCCTGATTGAGCGTGGTTTTGCAGCTGCATTGCTTTATTTTTGCTTAAGTATTTGCATGGGAACTGTGTGTCCCGAAAAACATGTCCCAAAGGTTCAACATATCTTAAAATGTCACATATTGTATCAAGTTGAGTCCCTGTCTGGTAGCAAATAAAGATAATAATGCTAGCATGAGAAGGGCTACCTCAACCAAATCCGATTTTCTGGGCGACCAATAAGGATCTAAGCAGCTAAAAGGACCCGAAGTGTTCAGATGGTCGTTGGGGACACAACACCAAAATATAAGTTAAACATGCTCTGGTGACGAAACGGATCGGTGAGTGTCCAGTACACCATCAGCAGCCAAACAGTAATCTAGTTCGTCAGAAGGACCCATGAACCAATCACAAGATCCACTTCATGACCAAAGGGATCTTGACGGCCAACACAGCATCTGATTGGTCAGAGGGTACGCTACCGACCAGAGGTTCCTCAGTAGCCAGAGGGGCTGCTCCGTGGTCATCAGGACTCTAAGCACCTAAAACGAACGTGCGCGTGAGAGTGAACGTGAACAGCCAGGGTTCCTTGAGCATACGAGGCGAGAGAGGTCAATTTGACCTACAAGCGGTTAAATTGATGATGGACAGCACCTAGGTGACTTTTGTGTAGCAGGGGCTTTCAAATGCTAGAAGTGCTCCAAGTATATATAATGCTCTAGAGCGGCCAGAGCGCCGACGGTAGCCAGTTGAGGTTCACTGATCGGCAGGATGGACCCCAAAGCAGAGAAACAGGGTTTGGCGAGTAGACAGAAGAAACACTTTAGAACTGTCTCATGCTATCTTATGTCAAAACAAAACTGCTTCGTACCATTTAGTACGGTCACAGCTCTCCGTATCCATTGCAAACCCACAGGTTTCAGGCGGCTCTCCGGAGCATGGGAAGGCATCCTCGACCCCCACGGCATCTCCAGTCATGACCTCAGTGATCAGTAGCGGTCGTGAGCAGTCAGAGAGAAAAATCAGTGGCCGGAGCGCTCCGTGGTGGCTAGAGTGACCCCTCGGTAGCCACTGAGCGGTCGCTCTGAAAAAAAATGCCCATGGGCGGCCAGAGAGGCACCAAGCAGTAGACAGTCCTGGACGTTTACTGAAGCTCTTGACGTCCAGGGGACCCCTGAGCGGCGAAGGTGACAAAAGGCCAGATATCCAAGCCAAGCCAAGGACAAATTTTGTGCAAACTCCCTATTAGTTTTGCCACGGTAGCCGTGAGGAACCGCTACACCGACGGCGCCGGGAGAGAGGGGGGGGGGGGGGGGGGGGGGAATTCCTTCTTTTACGTAGGGTAGAGATAATCTATTTGGCGTCATTAGTGTCAGGCCTGATTCTGAAGCCAGCAAAGATCAAGCAATATTCCAATTGTTCTTTTATGCGGGATTTATGACAGCTCTGCCAGGAGAATGTTTCACTACGATCGACCACACCAACATCATTTTATCGCATCAACATGTCATGTACTATTGTTCAAATGCTGTCTCTGACCACGATCCTTTTACATAACGTCCCAGCGCCCCAACACTTTGGTACACTTATACGCATGCCAAATTGCAATTGTGGCGTAGATTCCGTGAAATACATACATGGCGCGCCAGATTAACTCGTGGCCTACACAAAAATACACGAGAGGCCTACACGAACAACGATGCGTCTCCCGTCACACCGATTGTTCTGCCTTCCACGAATGATCTTTCAATGATGTGATGGCTTGGCTTGATGGCATGGCTTGATAATTGATTTCGCTCCTACCTTTAGAAGATCCGGAAAGATTATCACCAAAACTCAGTTTTTACGGTAGTCGTAGTGTTTCACTGGTTAATAAAATAGGATAGGAATGAGTACTATTTTGTGTTATTTTGCGTCACTGAAAGAACGTGACAGGGACGGTAACAAATACGATGCGTTATACTTATTAAAAACCACCATTAGGACATATTCGTCGTCTGTAGAGTCTCAAACTCGCTTACTTACCCCCTGCCACCGTTCGAAGTTTCAAAATCGTTCAGGGTGGCATGCATGAAGCGCATGGCTTATCTTTTTCGAACAGCGAATGGGTTCTATTCGGTTACGTCAAAAACAACGCATCTTTCAACAGTGAGCAAAAGTTGAAAATGTACAAATTAATGCGACAAGTCACTCAGTTGACCTAGATCCCATTGCGTAAATAATCCTAAGCAAAAAATATTTTTTGGCAGCCCAACCTGGCCATCTTTACCATAGTAATAAAAACGCCTTGACAATCAATTCAAAGCAACGTTACAAATTTATGAATTAATCTTAAGCAATAATATTCCTAAGCAAAAAAATATTGGTAGCCCAACCTTGCCATCTTTACCAAAGCGATAGCATTGCTTTGGCAATCAATTCATAGCGATGTTAAAAATTTATTAATTTCGCATGGCACCGCATTTCCAGGTACAAACAAAGAAAGTAACTACTGTGCACATCACATGATATCAATGTCAGGACTATAGCTCTGCGGACAACGATGGGTCGACAATAAAGTATTGACAAAATCATCAAGAGCGCAACAGCAACAAAAGCAGCACAGCACATCGTGATTTGATATTAATAATCTGCCATAAAGGCTGGCGATCGCTACACCGCGTGTGTCAAGCAGTTCACCAAAGCATTTCTTTCGGCCAGCACCAAGACAAAAAAGAACTGCATATACCACCCAATAATCCTCCACTCGACACAGCCTCCACGACGAGATTGGCCAGTTGGCGTTAGCTTTCGTGTGTGTCGAGATATTCTTGAGTTCTGGCTGCCAGATGCTGCCAGGTAGTGCTGTCGTCACAGAACCATTCCATGACGCCATCAAACAATGACGTAGTGAGGTGCATTTTTACAAAATTTGAAATTTTGCTACTTAGCTTCGTTTTTGAACTTTGAAAGCTTGCTAGTAGTTGCAAGTAAGCTTTTCCCACCATATCCGGTGCCCACCTTCAAATCTTCAAATGTGGAACATTCCCGTTAACATGAAACCACAAAAACTGGACACATCTAGAAAGTTTGGGTAAGTAGGCTCGGGTAGAAGGCTAGGGACGTATCTAAAAAACTAGAAAGCGAGTAAGACGCCGGTTTCTACCCCAATGCTTGTCTGTCTGAGTTTGAATGTTAGCAGATTGCCTATCAGGTCCTCCTCGTCGGGCAAGGGTATGAAAACGACCCAGCCTGGTGACGGTTGATTACACCAATCTCCCATGTTGCCGCTAAGTACACACCACGTTCTTCCTGAACACTTGCTGGCGGAAATTTATCCCATCAGCGTGCAATGCACACTGGTACAGGACCCCCTCGACCTGTCCAAGGCCTCTCTCGAACTGATGGGCGGATTGCAGTGGGCTTTAGATAAGCTTAACTTTGAAATGCTTTGCCAGTGCAAGTGCTTTCAGCGCGTGATAAATACTTCGAAGTTCGACAGAAAATATTCCAGGTCGTTTGAAGAGAGCAGGAACACTGGCTCAATACCTTTTTGGTGCGCCCAATTCATTGACGACGCAACGCCAACGTATGCAATCTCATCCATGCAACATCAGTGAATGATGAGGTGCGACATTATTCCCGAAAGTTGCACGTCAATAGAAGCAAAAACCAAGGTAATGAAAATCGAGGCAACTCTAAGCTGCGTGATTTGTATGGTGTCCAGGCTGTGGCAATTTGCATGATATACACACACACACACACACACACACACACATATATATATATATATATATATATATATATATATATATATATACATATATATATATATATATATATATATATATATATATATATATATATACATATATATATATATATATATATATATATATATATATATATAATGAACGTGCATGGTGTCTCGGCTTCTGCCCGGTTTGCCGGTTTTCCTCTGAACGCTGCCACGCCTGTCACGGCGAATTGCAGACGGCACCGCTGATGAATATGACATTCAGACAGGTCCCGATCAAACGACAGGACGAACTCGGCCGCCTCGGCTGACGTCCGGGCCCTCAGTTTCTCGTCTCGGCATCGGTCTCGGCGGACACGGCTTCGGGACTGATATGGTCGCCATGAACGCGGGGGAAAAGGGTGCGTTGTTTGAGTAATGCTGCAATACGCTTCGGCAATGCAGTTTTCACATCGACCAGCATATCATTCTGAGGATAGGGGCGTCTAGTTGTAATACTTTATGAGCGCAAATGACCATTTCTTCGCAACTGCAGACGTTCTGCGCAATTTTATTGGAGCTTTAGCTCATTTGCATGCCCGCCGGATTAACGGCATAACGTGACGGGACGCCTAAACGCCATGAAATAAGGGGCATCTGCCATCTAAGTCAATTTTTCTCCGACATTGCTGTCATAAATTTTCATGATGCCAGCGGGTCTGATCCGGGCAGATCCTTGGAGAGATAGACGTCCGGTAGTGGCTCCAACTCGAACGCTAACGGCTTCGGCGATCTGAGCGATTGGCGAATCCCGTCCGTGGAAATGGCCTTGGTCGTGCACGCAATAACAAACTGCGTGGATATAACAGCTGAAAGCTAGAACGTTGCGCTCTCTGGAGCGATCCCAGACGTTGTGGTAGACATTTATTGCTGCTGTTTTGTTTTTACAATTCCCAGTTTTAATGCGCCCAGGCAAAAATAAAAGTTTATATTTCAGGAAGTGTTATGCTAAGTGAATCACGTAAATCAGACCGAAGCAAATGTA